AAGCTTATTGGATACAATTTAGGACTGGTTGAGTCTCAGTTGGAACCTGCTGTCAGAAACAAAGTTTACACCACTTCTACAGCATATTGTACACCTCAGTGGAGCACTGGCTGGGGCAGCTACAGCTGAGCATTGCCATGGGGGCTTTCTGTGGAAAGAGGAATTAATTCCTTTTCCAGGTAGCCTGACAAAGGCTGTGCAGCAGAGTCAGGTTGCCTTAACAGCAGAACAGGGATCAAGTCCAATGATCTTATCCCAGTATAATAAAATATAAGAGCCACAGTAGCTTGAAAGTACAGAGTATAAGTTATTTTGATGTCCACATTATAAGCAAGTTAAGAAGAGGAGGAAGCCTTGGTATTTATACCTGTAGGGCTCCTCTCTACAATATTTTGTTGAAACTACTGAACTCCAACACTGGGTCCCAGCTTTAATTCTAACATTAAATTAAAGAATCACAAAAAGGTCAAGATGCTTTTACACTTACTTAAAATCCCCTCCACAGCATCATGTTGCACCAGCTTCAAACTGGAGATCCTCACATTGGCTCCTGTACAGTCAAAAAAGTTGTCTCCTTTGCCCTGGTTTTCTATCACAATATCATCTGGCAGCCCAAAGCCTGAAAGCAGAGGGGAAAGGTGCAAGTGTGAAGAACAACTGGTGACAAAGAGGTGCTCAGTACACAAAAGACATTTAAATTAAAGATGGAGATTTAAAACTTGAGGTACTAATACACTGAGAATAGCATTTTCTACCAAGTGCCCAGGTTACAGCCTTACCTTGTCCCCTCCCAAGGTACAGGCACTCAGAACCAAATTCAAAAGTTACCTTACTGGAATGACATACAACAAAATACAAAATTATCTGAGATAGTTGAACAAATGGGTAACTGAGCTCACATTTGCTAAGGCCAAAGTTCTCACTCCCAAAAGTTGCAACAGAGCAGGGGGATGCAATGAGGACACACAGGCACCTCCAGTCTGCTTTCAAAGGACACAAATTCACTAGAGCAGGCAGAGGTTTCAAAGAGCACAGAAGGAAAAAGCAGTCACCACCACAACATAAGGAAAAAAGTGCAAAGGACTTGATATTGTTAGTAAGCCTCACTCAATATGAAACTTGGGTGAAAATTCAGTGTTTGTGTGTTACACAGGCTTCCAGATTAATTCAGATTAAAAAGAAGCTTTCACAAGCATGTGCCAACATTGATTTACTGAGCCATCCACAGTTGTCGGCATTCAAACACTTACAGGGAAATTTATGAGCATGTAAAGCTTTTATTGCTTGTCACTGACAAGAATCATGATATGGAAAGCAATAATGCAACATCTATTAAAGCAGCACGAGTCCTATCATCTTCTGAAAGCACACACAAACTCGGATAAGAAGTGCCTGAGTGCCAGCTTTTAGCCAAGTACATAAATGAATAGTGCCATCTGCAATTAGAAAGGTTAAAAAGAAAAAAAAAAAAAGAACAAACTGTGAACAAGAGTTAGCAGAAAGTTTTAAAGACAGCCAATATAATGCAAAGTTAAGGAACTGATAGTTCATCATATGGTACTACTTCTCCCACTGCTCCTGGTTTATGGTCACCCCTGGAGAGGAGGTGTGTGGGACAATTTACTTCCAGCACACAAAACAGAGCAGCACAGGACAGCAAGTGGCAGATCTCCTTTAACTTCACACCACTACAGAAAGAGGTCAATATCCAAGGGAAGTTTTGGGACTAACTGTCCTGCAGACAGTTAGGAAGCTCGCAGTTCCTCTAACTATGCTTTCAGCTTGCTGCACACTTCACCTCTGCCTGGCAGCTCGAGTAGAGAGAAGGAAGCCAATGCAAGGCAAGGAACAGAGAAGCAAAGATTCCTCTGGTGCCCAGTGCTGTTCAACACAACACAGTCCTGGCTGTGCCCCTGCCTGCACGAGGGGCTCCACAGCAGCTCAAGCCAGCTATCATCCAGTAACACTGATCACGGAGGGGCTGATGCTCAAGGTGCCCAATCCAGCTTGAACAACTACTGCCCAAGCAGAAGGGAAGATCTCAGGTGCATCACATTTTTGTCAAGCATGGAAGTTATCCTTGCCATGACTTCCTGCAGCAGCCACTGCTTTAACCTTACTTACTTCCTGTAAGTTTTTATTTACCGCTGACTTACTCATCGTCATACTTCGTACTTACTTGGTACTGACTTGAAAGAGTGGCTGGAGAAAAAAATAAAAGCTCTACTAAGCAAAGTGACATTTTATGTCTCATGAGTCAGCCCTTCATCCCAAGAAAGCCACCAAAGCATCAGCAGCTTAGATTAGTGCCAGCAAAGTTTGTCTTGATGCTCCTACTTCAAAGGTTTTTGGCTGCTACTATTGCTCTAATACCTTATCCAACAGGCGTCCATATAAGAAGATTAAATACCCTGACATGTACTCATTCAGAGTGTAGTTTGTACTAAAGATGGGTACTTATATGCCTTGCTCCTTAAAATAGAGCACCTCATCCTTTAATGTGTGCTACTGCACCATTTATTTTACTGCTTCCTCAAAGCTTGAGGAATAAATACCACCACACACAATTTTAGAACCATTTCATTCTTGAGATAAATAAAGCACTTTATCTAGGTCCCTTATCCTGCAAGTGCACTGGCTATCAGCGTGTTTATCTGTATAAATCAAACACATACAAGAGATGGGCAAGAAAGAAAATGACACTCATAAAACAAAAAGGGTAAGAAAAATTAAAGTTCAGAACAGCAGGAAATTAAACTCTCACCCTTCTTCCCATTAAGAAGCTTTGACAAGATAAAAATGCAACTGTATAAGTATCTGAGCTGTACAGTCCCCAGCAATAAACTGCAACAGAATGTGCCTGCCTAAAGCTGAGGGATTGCACTGAGATATCAAGAATGGTGAAGGAGAGATAGCAACATATCCTAGACAAGGCAAAAGGATTTTAAGCACAAATATTTTGCAAGAAAAATCATAGAATGACATATGCTGTGTCTGTTTCTACAGAAAAAAATGCGTTAAACCAAAAGCTCCCTCCTTTACCCACATGATTCACATAATACAGCCATTGCTGACATGCTCCAAGTGCCATAAAACAAGTTCTAACAGCCCCTGGCTTGTTCCCTCTGCATTCCCCAGGGCTGCACTGACTGTGGGGCTCAGTGTACCCGTGAAGCAGATTAGGACATGCAAACAAGGACATCTCTCAAGTACTCAAGTCAGTGACTTTAAAAACTGAAGCCTCTCAGAATTACTTCTGTGCTTCCCAGACCACAACAATCCAGTCCCTTATGTTTCTGTTGAATGCTCTCTATTACCTATGTAATCACAATTTATGCACACAAACAGGAGGAAATGATGAATTTGCTATCAGTCAGCAATATCTGCAGTTTATTTGCATCATGGCTAATGAAAGAACTTAACTCCACCCTGCCTTAGCCATGGCTCTAGAGCAGCAACAGAATACTTGGAAGAAAAAAGCAAATGTTTCCAGCAAGCTGTGCAAAGAGTAAATCCTTATGCAGAGCTGGTTTAATTCATTCTATTTCCTTGTTTTATGGCCCTTTATGCTACCCAACCTTCTACCTTCTAGTTCAACTGAGTCAGCAATGCAGAACACGCCATCCACAATGTAATGCCCGGGAAAGATGATGACTGTGTCTCCTTCATAACAGGCACTTACAGCTGTCAGTGGGTCACTGTGAAACTGCAAAAGACAAAGCAAACTACAATCAGCTCCTGAAGAAGGCTATAAAAATGGATGCATTTATGCCCTTAGAGCTTGCTTTTCAATTAAATGTTGCTGCTTTCATAAAGAAACCCTTTTTAATGGCACCAATAACACACAATTTCTACTTTGAATTCAGGAATCATAGCACTCACTGGACAAAAACAACCTTAACAGATGCCTTTGATGTTTGTGTCATGCCCATTTCCCCACAAGGAAACTGGGGCAAAGACACAGATAGAAGAGCATGTGCACCAGAAAGCAAACTTCACCATGGCCTTGGTTCCAGGCCAACATCTGAATTCTGCCCCAAGTGACTTGCCATGAATTACTGAAGAAAGAGGTGACAGAAGGTAAACAAAATAAAAAACGATCCAGCAACTAGATCAGAGCTGGTCTGAACACTGGTGTAACCCTTCCTTCCTGGTTCAAGTCACGCCAAAACAGAGTTCAGATATCACAGTGGCAAATATGGTGTCCACATCTTCCTTTTCCTTCATAAAGGGTCAGGCTGATACCCTTCACAAACATTACCATGAGATTCCATGGCAAAGGATGAAAAATAGTACAGAAAACCGACAAATTTATTCCTTCCCAGTAAATTCCAGTGTAAGCATAATAATATAAAACCTGATTTGTAGCCTAAAAGGGAATCCAGGACCTTCCCCATGGCTCCATTTTGGCCATCTGTAATTCATGAACTTGATCAGAATACAGCAAGTAATTTTATTTGGGTCCAAGGAATTCAGACTGTCCTTAACTGCCGAAGTAGCAAGTCCTGCCTGAATTCACTAAAACTAAATATAACTGATCGAAAATAAATTGTATCTCCTACACAGGACTAAAGCAAGAGACTGGCCTTTTTTTTTCTTCAAACTCTAGATCATTATCAGCAGCATCAAGAGACATGGGTATTTCAAAACTAAATAGAAGTATTACACCTTGCCATATTTCACTGTACAATTATTACAGGTTCATCTCGCTTCCCACACACAGGAAGAAAACTGCTTGTATGGAGTACTTGCAAGCCACAGATGAATTGAAAGAAATTATTTGTATCATCCAGTCTTACCACTTACTGTTTAAATTACAGTGATCTTTTTTTTTAACTGACAAAAAACCAGCACTGGGCAAATGTAGTATCTTTCACATGATAAATTAACTTATTCTTCCATATTGTTTCGTGAGGGGAAAACTATCAGCAGATAACTCCTGTTACTGCACCTGCACTTTGACATCTTCACCATAAGATTCTGGGGAAAGTTTGTCTCTCATCAACAACTAGAGCTGATTTGCTGCAATGGCTGAGGGTACAACATGAATGACCTTGGTACCCGTTGTCCTCAGTCCTTTAGCCTGGAGACTTCCATACTTCTGGTAACCAAACACATACCTGCAACAAGAACAACACAGCCATCAGCTCCTTCTTCAGAAAACACATCCTGTATGTCATGTTATTTCCCTCAGGGCCTCCTCCTTGCACAAACCCACCAAGTACCTCAGCTGAGGATTCTCGATCAGTTTTAGCTTTTGTTTTAAGTGCTCCACTTCCTCATACAATTTGAGTCCTTCCACCATGGAGACGTTTTCTACTTCTGAGTCCGAGTCACTGGTTGAGATGCTGTTCCTCACATTCAGAAACTTCCCATAAAGGTCCTCACATTGAGACAACAAGTTCTGGTAATCAGCTACAAGCCCAGAAGGCACACGGTGTTCAAGGATGTCATAATGCCTGCAGTTCAGAGCAAGGGGTCAGCATATTTCACAGGTACAATTCTCAAAGATCAAGTACAAGATTGGAGACGACCTGAGGAGTTTTGCATCAGTACTTTAGTCAAGATTCTCTGCAGCCTATGTTATTATTATATGATCCATTTTATTTGAAAGCAGCAAAAGAAAATCCGAACAGACACAAACATTTTGCTTTTTAAATTGTTGCCCAGCCACCTTGAAAGATTGTACACAATTATCAGAAATTCATCCCAGAGTAAAAAAGAGGCATAAGCACAGCTTTCATTAGGATTACAACTTGTACCAGTGTGATGGTGGTTATTGCTGGGGCACTGTCTGATGGAAGGTCAAGGATTACAGGGAAAACCAGGGCTCAGAAATCAAGTGGCAACCTCAGTTGTGCCTTCTCCCCATACCAAGTTTGACCATCAGTGAATGCTGTTAGAACAAACTTGCTTTGGTTTATGAGTGCACAGGGTTTTTTTACATGGAGTTGTGAGTCACTCTTCCCACAGGACACTTTGCTGCGGCTCTGCCCCAATAACAAAGGTGTTGCACTCACAGCCTCAGTCGGGGCTCAACACAGCGCACAAAGTAATCAAACTCATCCTCCTCCTCCTCGTCCCACGTCCTCCAGATCCACCGGTAGAAGAACCTTTTGAAGCAAAGTAAGTGTTTAATCACAGAAAGGAGGCGAGCAGAGGCAACAGCATTGGAAACACGAATGTAACCAATCTGAGAATTCATCCCAAAGCATCACCTCTCTCCAAATCAATGCTACTGTCCTGTAAGCTGCTTAGTATACAGAGAAGTCATCTTTCTTGCCTGCTGTTCAACTGCATAAAGAGTTTTATTTTGTATGTCTAAGTTCAAAATTCATAATGGCCTGAGTCCCACTTTCATCAAAAGAGAGCAAACAGCTAAAAGCTACATTTGAAAAACAGGACTGACACTCTTTGGATCCTCTTTTTTGTTGTTTGGTTTTGGCCAGGCATCCTCCAGCTAAGCTTTCTTTTTGACAATGTAGGTCATTCTTCCTATTTTAGCTTTTCTATCCAGTCTTAAAGCCTATTGGTAGAGAGCTTTCAAACAGCATGTAGTGCATGGAAGGGAGATGAAAAAGAGACAGAGAGATGATAAAGAAAGGAAAAGAAAAGAAAACAGAAGATGTGAACAGACCCCTAAAGAACAAAGAGCAAATTTAGGAGAGGAGGCAAAACACACACACACACAAAAAGAATGTGACAAAAAAGGGAAAATTCACCAAAATTATATAGAAGAGAAAGAAACACTATACTAGAGTCTGCAAGGTGATACAGTCCAAGGAAATCTGGGGTGGAAGAGAAAAGGAAAGCAGTCTCCTCAGAGTACTGGTCATGAGATTTACTTTGGAGAGCTTGGCTCATGGAGCTCCCAGAATGGCCACAAGAATTCAGGACATGACCCACTGGGTACCAGCAGAGTGTAATTGTCCTACCTGACATGCTCTACAGCCAGTGCTGTCTGGTCAAACTCTCCTGACTCATCATACACAACCCACAGCTCCTGCAGTAGGATCTGATATTGCTTCAGCTCCAGGAGTTCCTGCATGCACTCCAAGGTAAAGCTGCTGTCCCGTGACTCGCACAGGAAAGGGTCACTGAGCTGCACAACTGCTTTCAGAGACGAGTAATCCACATCAACAACCTGTTGGAACAAAGAGCTGTGAAGAGTTCTCAGAACCTTAGATCCAGCTGAGAAAGGTGGGCATGACATGCCTAAGTCAGGAGGGCACACTGGGTTCCAGCTGAGCCACAAAACCAACACAAATGGCACAGCAAAGGCCATCTCTGCAGCTGAAGGGATAGGCCAGAATGAAGCTTCTCAGTACTACACACCTAGACAGCCTTTTCCACATTCAGAACTACATTCAAATGTCTCCTAATGCTCATAACAAGGCCAGCAAGTTTCTCCCTATTTAGGTTTCTTGTTTTGCTTCTTTTAAAAATTGGAAAAGCAATATCCTCAGACTCAAACAAATCAACACATTACAGTTCCTCAGGACTCCTTCAGGGCTCATTTCTCAAAGTGCCCACAGGATACAAACAATCCAAGGGTTAGTCTGGGCCAGAGAAAGCCATTTTGTCACTAACTGGGCAGAAGAGTTGAGAGGGTACAAAGTTTTTCCTTCTTCAACCATGTAATGAAATTGCAAGTTCGAACATCCAAGGCTTGCAACAAAGATGACCTGGACATTGAGAGAACTAGAAAAGGAGTATCCCAGCTGAGTCTAAGACAGCTGAATGCAAAGCAGAAGAGCTACTGTCAGTACCAAGGTGGGTTAAAAAGAAAAATTTTACTGATAAAAAAGTCAACTACATTACAACCAACAGCTCTGGACCGAGTATCCCCTCTGTGCCCTTGCAGTTCCACCTCACAGCTCACTCACACTGACTCGGCTTTCCCCCTTCCCATTTCAAGAAACAAGCCTTTAGAAAAAAATTCCTATTGCCCTGGCCATCACTGGCAATTAGATATGACAACATTCTTACTATTTTCTACCAGTTGGTAAACATAGATAACCAGTCTGTTACAGAGGCAAATGATGTTAACTGGAGACAAATGCCTGAGCAACAACATTCCACTTACCCCCACAACAACCTGAAACACATCAGTGCGCCAGATTGCCTGCCAGCCAGATGGCTCCAGGACCTTCTCCAGGTAGTCAGCTATGAAATGTTTCACCTCAGAAGCTCTGCAGTCAGCTAAAAGGAAATTGAAGACAGTACATTTATGCAAGGAATGAAAGAAAAGTCCTTCAGATAAGTGGAAAATTAAAGACAACACAGTTCAAATGTTTCTCTACCACCTCCAAAGTTGGACTTCATTCTGTTTTGCTCATGGTAACAGTCTACTTTTTTGCTGTTTCTCTTACTATTGAGAGAGTTGGAGAGGTATCTGTTTTGTGCTTCTCTGGAAGAAGAGATCCAGTACTCAAGCCTCCAGGTATTGAAGATTTCAGTGCCAATGATACTAAACACATAACCTGTGCCTTATCTTAATCAGCCTTACTACACACAGAAAAATTCAAGTAAGACAAACTAAAACAAGGCACAGAATCCACTATTAACATCTCTGCCTTCCCACCATTCAGATTTTATTAACTTATACCTAAACCATTGCCTCCTGGTCCACCAGCTAGAGCAGCTGAGGTTACAGCATGAAAAGCATCTCACAGCTTAATATACAATTGACTCCACTTAAACTGGATCATTTAAACAGTGACTATAAGAAAACTGACACCACCTTCTTTTTCTACTATGAAATGACTTACCCAAGATGTAATCCTGGTAAGTACTAAACCGCTCGTAAAAGAAAAGATGATCGGTGTGAAAAATATCTGGAAGAAGCACGTTCCCATCTGGCACAGCCCTTCCCAAGGCAGTCCCCACGTTGCCACGACTGCCATAATCACTGCAGGAGTCAGCACTCCAGTCACTCTCAGCATCTTCCTGGTGCACAGCTGGGAAGAGGAGAGAGCAAAGCAAACCCCACAGATTGTCAGCTCAATGCAATTATCACTCACTCCTCTATTCCCACAGAATTCCTGTTCAGCTTAACAACTATCATGAACCTGCTTTCTACAACGCATCTTAATTATTCTTAGCGAAGAGAGTATCCTACTTGGTTAGTTGCTTTCTTCTCCAGAACATCAACCCTGTCCCAAAAGAGAGTTCCATTTGTCCCCACCTGCCCCAAGTCACAGTTACTGTACTAATTTACTCTGTTCTCCAGGTAAGATCTAAAACCCTTTAAGTATAACATTGCCATTCATGTACATATTAGGCCTTGTTAAATAAACCCTGTCTACATCACCATGAAATGGTATCAAGCAATAATCCAAATTATTTTTGAACATGCACACAGCCAGCTGGTCCCACACACAACTGATCCAAAATGACACTCAGGATTACTGTGAGCAAAGAGCAAGCTATAAGAAAAATGCATGATAAACTGCAGGTACTAGTCTTATCTAAAGATGTGTTTTCACAGTTGCCCTTTCCTTTTCTTGTCTTTTCCTGTTCTACAGTACATTCTTTTTGTACTTTAATAAGCTAACAAAGTCTCTGCACCTGAAGTGTCCACAAAAGAAATTCTAAGCAACACATTTAGACAGGAAGGTCACAGATTTGTAATTCTTAGTCCACTTAAAGGGACACTGGCTGCATCTTTACTTTGAAGGGCTCATTGCAACAACAGCACCTCTCCACAGGAGTTCTTTTTATAAACTCGGATCAGTCACTTTGGTCACACAGCATCTCTCAGGCCTGCTCGCCCCTAAGTTCAGAAAACATTAGAGAGATGACCGAAGGAAACCAAGTGTGATGATGATTCAGGTTTTTTGCTGTTCGGGTTTTTTTGTTGTTTGTTAATGTAACAGCTCAAGACACCCTTACTGCCCATAACTTGATTCTGTAACAATCTGCAGGCCTCTGCATTTCCATGAGTCTGCAGTCTGACCTTTATTAGAATCCTAAAAAGAAAGGAAGAAAACTCCGCACTATTTCAAACACATCCCTCACATTTCAGGATGGGTAATGGAAGTTAGCACCCTTGACCTCCTATTTGTTAAAATTCTTACATATTTGGAGTCAGACTCAATTAGCAAAAAAACCCCCAGAACCAGTGTCTGAGCCAACTACAAGCGTTCAGACAATTTCACTTGTCTTTGCAGCACAACCACTGTGGTAATATGTAAGGAAAGGAAAAGTTGGCTTAGATGATCTAGTGTGATTTATGAAACACTGTTACATGTACGCTGTAAATAAGGATTTTATTTCTATGCACCCATAACCAAATCAAGCCACTCTGACAGCAACACCCTGTACCAGCCACACTATGAACTCCAGAGCAACAGCCTGTGTTCCAGAACAAGACACTTAATTTAGGTTGTTCTGGGTTTACAATCTGCAAGCCTGTAACCAAATACCACTAATGACCTGCACTGCCCGGGGATGCTCAGGAGACACTAGAAAACACCCCCAGTGCTACTCAGGAGACACTAAAAACACCCCCAGTGCTACTCAGGCAGGGGAGCCGCTTGCAGGGAAGCAGCTTATCCTGACACTGACAGCGTTCCAAACAGACACACGCTCCCGGACGCCCAGCTGAGCACCCGGGCTGGGCACTTGAGAAACACAGCGGAGCTTCACGATTAAAAGTTGAAACCCCACGAGCTTTAACTGTGTTTATTTGCAGAACCATCCGCAGGTTCGCTCCCCACCACGGCCCCACGCCCCGAGCCCGAGGGCCGGGCCGAGCCCACGAAGGTTGCGTCCCTTCCCTCGGCACCGCCCGAGCGCTGGGCGCGAGTGCCCGCGTCCCTCCCTCCCCGCCCGGCCCTCGCAGCCCGTACCTCTCTCGGCGTGCTCGGCGTCGTCCTGCGGGTCGGCGGCTCTCCCGGCCGGCGGCAGGGCCCAGCCGTCCCCCTGCGGCCCCGGCGACCCCGCCTCGGCCATGGCCATGGCCGCCCGCCCGCCGCCTTCAAACCGCCCGGGCACAACGGCCGCGCCCGCCCTCACAGCGGTCGCTCCAGCGCCCCGCGCTCATTGGCTGTTGGCAGGGAGCGCCCCGCTCTCACTGGCTGTTGCCAGCCGGCGCCCCGCCCTGATTGGCTGTGGGCAGCCAGGGCTCCGCCGTGATTGGCTGTGGGCGGCAGCGGCAGTTGGAGCGCGGTTTCCTCAGCAGCGCCGCTGCTCCCCGGGCCGGAGCCCGGCGGGGCTCGCTCTGGAGCGGGAAGGGAGGTGGAGACCTGGCCTTGTCACCCCAGCCGATAAACCAGGGGCTCTCCTGCCAACCACGGTACTGCGGGCGCGGAGCGGCGTTCCGCACACAGCGTGGCCGCCGGGGCCGCTCCCTCCCTGCGCAGAGGGATCCGCGGAAACGTTCGAACACGCAACGATCTCCCCCGTCAAAATAAAACCCCGCTCCCAACAAACCCAAAAATGAATGGAAAAAAACCCCACCACACAACCCTCCGCTTCTAGCTCTGACCAGTTCGTACACAAACACAAAAGACACCTTGCTAAAATCCGAAGCCCCGGGATTTCCCCTCCGGTCTGTTCCACAACCCAGCTCTCCTCAGGACGCTCCGTGTGTTCCGCGACCACGAGCGCCGGCAGCGATTCCAGCCGGAACAATGGCTCCAGCACGGCAGCGGCCACGAGGGGGCTGCCTTAGATTTCTGACAGCACGGCCAGACACCTCCGTTTGACTTTCCGAACATCCCTCGCTTTTGCAGCGGCAGCACGATGCCCTCAGCATTGCCCCTCCACAGAGCCCGAGTCATCCCGACACGGCACGGGGCGGAGGTGCCAAAGGTCCACTGAAATCAACCTTTGTCCATCGTAACCCCAGGAGAAAAGAGAACGTCTCAGTCCCCTGGACTTTTCTGCTGTCAGGATTTAACCATTATACTGGACATGCATTTTTAACTGCACTCATGTATTTTCGTCTATCTTAATTAGTTACAAAATTACAGGCAAACAGCTAAATCTTGCCCCAAAGCTTCTTTATTTCGTTGTTTGGTTGTTTATTTGGTTTGGTTTGGTGGGTTTTTTGGTTGGTTGGGTGGGTGGGTGGGTTTTTTTGTAAGGTCAGGCTTCGGGGTAGAGCATGTGTGTAAACAAAGTGTCTTAAAATTGGCAAGTTTAAAGTACTCAGTTAAGTTTAGGAAAGGGATGCCATGCAGAGGGACCTTGACATACTTGAGAGGTGGGTCCTGGTGAACCTCACACAGTTCAACAAGGCCAAGTGCAGGGTCCTGGACCTGGGTCAGGGCAATCCCAAGCATAGGGACAGGCTGGATGGAGAACTGGAGAGATTAGGTTGGATATTAGGAAGAAATTCTTCCCTATGAGGGTGGGCAGGCCCTGGCAGAGGTTGCCCAGAGAAGCTGTGGCTGCCCCATCCCTGTAAGTGTCCAAGGCCAGATTGGATGGGGCTTGGAGCAACCTGGGACAGTGGAAGTTGTCCCTGCCCATGACAGAGGTTTGGGACTGGATAGTCTTTCAACCCCAAACCATTGTATGATTCTGTAAGTAATTAAGAATTGGGAGATTGTCTCTACTAAACCTGCAGTACCACTGAACATGGTATTATATTAGAAAAGAGATCCCCCATATTTAAAGAGTGAAGTGACACAGTTATTCACATAAATGTTTTGCTATAAATCCACAGCATTGAGAATCTGCAGTAGGCAACACATATTTGTTATATGCACACAGAAGAATGTCTCTGATATGAAGGAAACTTCACTGAATGAAGAAAGATTTTTCATCTAACCTCAGCAACACATACTGACAAAATTTTATTCAGGCTGTACACTGAGTTAGGAGGGGTAGAGTAATGGTCAAAAAGAGAAAATAAAAAAGAGTAAGAAATAGTCTAATAGAGAGGAAAGATAACAGGGGGACAGCAACAATAACTTTCACAATAGGAATGGGAAGAAAGAGAGTATTTGGAAAGAAATGGACTGGAAGAGGTACAAAGAAGGTCCTCTTTTGGCACTTAGTCCCCTGGGGGATGTTCCTTGTCTTGTACTTTTTCAACACCTAGAGTGAAAAGAGACTATCAGCATGAAATGACAGAAATAGCAAACACAACAGGAAGGGAAAAAACAAACAAACAAACAAGAAAGCCCAAATAAAAGGGAGGAAAAGCGGAATGCCAAAGATAGCCTGGAAGATACATCAGAACCCAGACTGGTTTTGTGACTGACTACAGGAGCCAAGCTTTGAACCAGCTTTTTTCCTGAGCACAGGAGCTAAATAAAGGATTCAATAAAAAGCATAGGGTGGATAAAAAAGGAAAGAAAGGGGTAGCAGTGAAGAACAACCAAAAAAACCCACCCCATTCTATTATACATTTTAGTTATCTGCTGTTAAATCCCCACTATTATAGATTTATGTCTATAACCTCAGGCCCACAGTCTGGCCTGTTCATATAACCTTATGCATAGAGTAACTGTATGCCCATAGTGCTTTATAACTCTAAAATTATGGGCATGTAGGTTCCCATATTATTTAAATGTTTGGTTAATTTTTTCTCCGAATAGATACAATGAATTCAGGCTCAAAATGGGCAGATCAGTTCTTTCACACCTGGGTGAAACACTGGTGATGAGGACAATCCATTTATCCCTACTTATTCTGTTTGGAGAATAGCTGGGGGCAGATTGTGTTCCATTATATAAGAGTTCCACAGCATTCAGGTAATTATCCACAATCCTTGTAAAAGAGCTGTTTTACTTCAAAGAAACACTGTCCTGGCAGCAACTGAAGCTGCTGCAGGTGTCCTGGACTGATCAAGCTTCCTTTTATTCAAAAAACTCCACCACAGTTGTTTCCTTCCCATCATTTCAGAAATAAAAACACAGTACTCTTATTGCTGGAAACTTTCCACTTTCCAGCTTGAATGTGCATGCACAGTGCACACCATCAGTTATTTTCTTGAGCTTAAACAGTTACTTTTCTCCCTACAACATTTATTCATCCAATTTATTATTTAGCACGAATTCATGTTTTCCTGAACCTCTTTTGCTAAATCACAGTCTGTCTTTCTTTGCACAGCAGGTTTTCCATTCACCTCACCTTATTAGTTGTCCTTTCTTACACTTTTCTCCAAGTTTGGTTTTTTTTTTTTTTTTTTTTTTGTCTTGAGTAGAAGTGACCAGGTCTGTGTGAAGAGCTGAGGTCTGGCAATATCTTACATGGAACGTTGTCACTCCAGAGCTTGAGAGGAGGAAGAGAAAGTGTTTGCCCTCACACTCTGTACTCAGCTCTCACACTTTTGAATGGAATCTCATTGCTGCTCCTCCTGGGAATGAGATGTATGTGCTTAAGTCACCTGGATGCTTCTAAAACACCCAGCATTATATCTTAAACCCCAAATATATTTGTTCAGCTGTCTTCCCCTTGAGATATTGAAACAGTGAGGAGTGCTACTATGCAGAACCATCTTTCAAAATCTGAAATAGACTTCCACTTCAAAACATGACATGGCAAATACAGTTTGAACATCACAGAAGGTGATTAATTTCTTTTCAGAAATTAATGCAAGCACAGCTACATAAAGCTAAGGAAATGCAGTCAGGGACTGGTGCCTTGCTACTAAAAGATAATTGTCCTTTAGTATTGTACTAGTTTTAACTGAAGAAACACAAAAGACATACATCCATCTCAGTTGAGAGCACAGGCTATTTATGCCTTAAAACACTTCTGGATCATGCCCCATTACAAGGGAACCCTAAATTAAAACAGAATCAAAAGATCAAATTATTTTATTACATGCAATGAAAATAGTTGTTAGTCACTATAAGGCTTGGAAATCATAAATTATCTATGAAATGTGTAGAATAAGCAGCTGACACGAGCCAGCAGAGCTGTGAGAGTGATGGGAAAGAAACAACAAATATGCACAAAAGAAAAAAGAAATTTAGAAAGAGACTGCTACATAAGACATTTCTGTGTACTTTGCTCGTCTTTGCACACATTTTCTTTGTTGCCATGGCAATCACTTTAGTCTTTCTAGGCCTCCATTTGAGCACTATAAAATGCAGATAATGTTTTTTTACTGCATATGTTTCAGTAATTCATTTGCAAACCACGTTTACGTGTCACAGAACTGAGGATTGCTGTTAATTAGTTGGCTTATTATATATTGGGTAACATAACTGATAGTTCTTTGACAGGTATTTCATCTGTCTTTAGATTTTGTTTTGTAGCAGTATAAGCTTAAACCGTTGTAAACCTAAATAAACTGAATCCAATTAGAAAGGCAGTTAAATTTTGAAAACCTGTTCGCTTTCATTCCCTCAAAAAATCAAATCCAGTTATTTTCTCAAGAACTATTTAGGAGTTTCCCACACGAGTTTGCATCCAAATATTTGCATTTATCAAAGATTGAACTACACCGCTGAGATCAGCATATCTGTCTTCCAGAAGTTGTAAACATTAGAGCTGGAAATCACCTGCTTCTCTCTATTACCAGAGGATGCTTTTTTATGTGTGCTGTCTAGTGTGTTCTGAGTAGTCTTCAGAATCTTCTCAATATTGGCTTCTTCAGGAAGGTACTGGCTGGGTTTAGAATTGTTCTAACAGCCACCTTATGTTTAAAAAACAACAATAACAGCATTGCTTCTTTGGATTTTCATGTCTGTAGACCCTTCATTTCTTGCAGTTCACATTGACTGCTTCCAGGTTTCTAACTGCTGAGAGCTGAGTTTTTCTTAACCACAAACATGCCTGGTATTGCTAACTCCTTAATTTGCAGAAATGGGAAATTTCAGCCGACTGACCTTGCACACTGAACCTTGTCTCCTTAATAAGGAGGTGGTAAAACAGATGTTAGCCTTTCTGCTCACTGCAGAGGACACTGCAGCTCTGTTTTCAAGATCCACTGAAGAGCAAAGTAACGTGCTCCAGGACAGCCTGCTTTGAGCAGGGAAATTGGATCAATG